CGTATATCTGTTACTGAGCTGGCAGACTATCTAAACTCGCCCCTTGCAGTTTTACCTTTGGAAAAATGCTTGCAAACGTGAATGCCTAGTCAGCCCCCACCTTGAACTTCACACTACATACCTACTGCCATACCAATTCGGTCTACCTTAAAGATTTAGTACCTCAGCCTGGGAGAAATTGTCCACTCACACTCTCGAGGCTGGATAAAAAGAGTTCCATACCAGTCATATGGAAGACTAAACATCACGATCGCTATAAATTTATTCACAAATGTTTACACTAGAATATGAAAACAGCCTGGAATGAAACTAACCAGTATCGACTGCACCTCGTTGTTCATCGATTTATCAAAAAAAAAGTTCCAGTAAAGTCCCTAATCGTCCTCATTGCGGTCCATAATAGTCCAGTGAGACCTGCTCGCTCGGACTAGGGCGCAAAAATTGTCTTTTTCGAATACCACATCCAAAAATGGCCTTGTTTTAACGTCCTCGCAGAGGCTGCACCATTAACATTGGAGCAAAATATGTTATGTACCTCCATCGAAGGACATAGTCTCTGGCCTATCAATCCTGTTTTGGAATGTGCCGCGCATTCAGCTTCCACCCAGAATCGTGGTGGCCTTTTCAATGCGTATTGTACTGAAACAAAAACTTTCGGTAATTAGCCGATATACTAGCCAGGGCCCTTATACTCACAGACGAACCTGGGAACAATGAACCGACCCTGGAGGGAGTGATGGAAGGCCTGGTTGGCTTAGGCGGATATCCACCTAGGATTCAAACTTAGAACATTACGTGTGTAATAGTGCGCCACTTGCCAGAACCACCTTCTCATTAGCCATATATACTAATAGAAATTAGATGAATAGGAACATAAAAGAACAGGAAGAGAGGGTTCTTCAGCTTTCTGCATCACGACTAGCTGTAGCTATCTGCAGGAATTTTTCCATAAGGAGACTAACAGGGCGATGTAGTGCAGCGAAGGGAGACAAAAGGAAATGAGCTTCTCGTATGAAGGTCGTCCTCAAACCGTGAAGGGTATTAAAGGCAGCGGCGAAGAAATTGAGAAAATTCGCCTAATTCAAAGTTTCTTAAATGTAGTGGAAGTGCAGGTTGTACGAGATCACCGTGACGGTAATNGCTCAAAGAGATGTCTACATCAAGCCGAAAAAGTTCGAAACTGCCTTTCACTGTCGCCATGGATCATGACAAGTTGTTTGAACTTCCTACATGGGAGTCACTTGAAATAGCGTAGCCTCGTAGCCCCGATCCGCCGCTAGGATACTTCCCACTTGATGGTCACTTGTATGCAAACTTCTGGTCGCTGACATGCAGGATACCATGAGCACCCGTAAACTTCGCTCCCTCTCAGGCGCTAATGTACACGCCTGAGAGGGAGCGAAGGAATCAGTTGGTTCGGGGTACAGGGCTTTTCGTGATGTTCCATCCGCTATCACTAGTGCTGTGGTCGCGCCACGAAACCCTGTTAATTACCAACTGGAAATCTTTCAGCGAAAAGAACTTTATTAAGAAAATCCCCGAACATCGGATGAATAAAGCTAACACAGAAACAGTGGAAAAGACCTGATGTGTTTTTGGTGCTATTTCTTATTGCTGTAGTTCGCAGTAGGGGGAAGTTTCCAGAAGATTACTGAGTTGTGGCATCAGCCGACTCTCGAACCCAGCCTGTGCTTGCTGGGCACCTTGCCAACTTTCGCATTGTGTAGTGCGGCCAAGTATAATAGTAGCAGTTATCAAGAACATTAAGGCAAAAGAAGTTCTCACGATAAAAGCTTTTAGCTTAAAGATTCAACGCCAATATTGGCTGTCCGGCTCAACGTTCCACGTTGTACGTATCTATTGAATACTATGAAAAACTANGGTAGATGTCCTGTTTTCTTGTTGGGTCTACATAAAGCCTAATACCCACATTGATGAAAAATAAAATTTGGAGAAGAATGGGAAGAGGTTCCCCTCCATCTCCTTTCTCAAATATAACAATTAATTTGTTATCATAATCAGAGCTTTCGTGTTCTGTCAGGAGCAGTCCGATAAACACGTCCTTGTATCAAAGCTTCATCTGATAACAATACAATTTCATTCACGAATACATAACAATAACTAATCAACGATGCCTAACTCTACGAACGATTGGGGCGTACGGGGCGAAGAGCCCAGATGAGGTCCATAAATGCTTAAAGCTATTAAGCTAGATGTGGTTTCACGTCGAGTTCGCCCACTCTTCGCTTACAGTTCGAGCAACTACCACACCAACAACGAAACCAATCAGTCCCTTGACAACTGACCTGAAAGAAATAAAAAACTCAAACTGTTAAGTACAGGAGACTGCAGTTTGGGAGGGCCAAATTAGTCACAACTAGCGGAGTACCAAACCGTCCTCATTTTCTGGAGTTATCGATATTATTAGATCGGTTACAAAAGTACGCCCACAATCGGAGGCGTAGCATGGCTATCATAACGAAATACATTAAAAACCCGAATGAAATTGGGTTACCCATTACTACACTCTCATTAATCCCCGTCTGGAACGACTCATTCAGCACAAGCCTCCGCAAGGTTTTATAGAAGAAAACAAAAAAGCCTGGAGAGGTACTGCAAACTTTATGGCTGTTTAGGCCAAAATGAGGCACGAAACGAAATTTGGTGACAAATTTAGCATAAACTCGGTCAATACACATATACCTTTCCTTCCCCACATCATCATTTCCTCTTTGGTAACGGCAATTGGGCATTTCACGGTCACTCCTCCAGCTCACGCCCAATTTGACAGTTTCAAAGAACTTGTCACAATAACTCTTTGAAACTACCATTTTTTAACTTGGATTAGTCCGAATGTTGACTAACCCAAAACTGGCAAGCTCAACTCTCAATGTTACCTGCATCATTACGCTTCATTCTAACGTAGTCAAAAAAATTTTATGCCCTGTTCTCCTACAATTGTATCGAATTTGGATTCAAAACCAGCAGCATGATAGTTTCCGAAAGAGTCCACACTGGCACCACAGGTGAACTCATATCAGCACATAACGAATGCAGCGAAGTAAAGAAAAACGTGGATCGTGAAAAGTCGAATTCGAGTTTTCTCGATGGTCACCCGATAAGGCAGAGAGCTAGCATAATCTTTGACGCGGATAACTGATCGTTAGTAGAGCGAAAAGGTCTTCAAAAAGGACAACTCAGCACGAAAGATGAGAATAGCTACAGAGAGCGAAGGGGCCGTAGCGCAACCACCTTTAACTGACCCAGTCCCACACCCACACCACACTCCCCCCTAAACCTAGGGAGCGAGAAAGAAATGCATTAGTTTGGGGAGAAAAGAGTGAACGAATAAACCTACCAGTGAAATGGATTGTTGTAGATCGAATCGAAAATAGGGAAACGAGTGTGGACCTGAGGAGGAGGTGAAGGGCCTTGTTGTACACGAAACATTCCCTGAAAAACTAAGAGATTGATGGTAAATAAAAGCGAATAGTGCCAAAACACGAGCGATTCAATACTTATTGCAAATATACTCATATTATAAGTAACCTAGCTTACAAAATCTGTATCTTTTCTACATAAGGTCTGATCCTCTTACACCTTGAAATAAACCCATTTTGCAAGGAGAACGAAGCCTTCTGCATCCAATAAAGCAACATTTTATTCATATTCGGAGATTGAAGCAATGTTTACCAGCTACTCATGGAAAGGAATCAAGCAAAGGCGAAACTCGCTTTTAAAACTGACTTATTAACTAAACAGGGCTTTCAACAAAGTAAAAGCTGAATTCGAAGAAAGTGATGAGAAATTGTCTTTCATTCAAATTGACCCTGCCACAATTCCACATCATACGATATGACTACCGAAAATTGGCGAACACTTAACACCCACAAATGCTGTCCGCCCTACCATAGAAGTTTCTCAAAAAAAAAATTGGATGGATTTCTCCACTCTAATTAAACAAAAACTTCAGAATACAAAAAAAGAATTATTCGGTCTGCAGGTAATCTATCTCCTTTAGTTTTTGCTTTCAGAGCACCTTAAAAAAGTTGGATTCAATCGACCAATACAACCAACTTATAGTCACAAACAAACTGTACATTTGGAATAGTATAAAGGCATCACTAACAAGTAAGTGATCTACACCGAGAAAATGAATGTCACATCATGAAAATAGATACCAGGTGAGAAAACATTAATCGCAGCGTGTAATTACGTAACTCTACCGACCACCGTAGTCTTACGCCTATAATCATACTGCGAAGCGAATTAAGAAGAATTGTAATTTTTCTGCACAGCAAGCGCAAGGGAGTAAGAATGAGAAAGGAAAAAATGAGTTCGTCGCTCGTATTCCAGGTCCACCCATTCCCTCACAGAAAAAAAAACTTAACTGGCATAATCGCGACAAGTGTAAAGGTTCTTCCGTATTTGCAGTCAACACAACCAACCATTCGTCGCAGATTGAGCATTCTTTCAAATATAATAAAACTTATTTAGCATTCGGGTTTCGCATTGTTTTTTTTTATTTGGATATCTTCAACGTGAATGTAAGGTTCCGTCAGAAACTCAGCTTCTATTTTCCCAATTGCATTTACTTAGCGTCCATTTCTCAAAACGAGGGGTAGCATCAATGAAGAAGTGACAAGTAAGTTCTCATCGCGCTTTGACCAATGCTGGGCGAAAAATCATTGTTCAAGAAACATTTACTGCGGGTAAATTCCTACAGTATTACAGCCATGGTTTCTGGCCCGGTCCATGATCCACTATGCAGAGAAGATGCTAGCTCTAGGATAAGATTTGTGATAGAATCCTTCACGTTGTAGTGGAACCCTTTGGTTTTCTTCACTTATTGTTAGTCCATCATTATCGTCGCTTTATTTTCGTGGTATTTTCTTTTCCTCCTATCATTTTGGTTTTCTTCACTTAGTCCATCAATATCGTCGCTTTATTTTCGTGGTATTTTCTTTTCCTCCTATCATTTTGTGAACATATTTGTAGAAATGTCCGGTGTGGCAGGAGGAGCAGGCAAGAAAAGCAGTAGCCGGTCGGTTGCTACTAAAACCCTTATCATTCAAGAGTATAAACNTCTCAACGACAACTTCATAAACATACTTAACGCTACAAAGGTTTGTTGATGATTGTAGTCACCTTTACAAGAATCACCTTTGAAAGATGGTAGCAAAATGACTTTCCGAAAACTTAATCAGTGAACCCATCAGATCACACGGTGTTCCTATTTTGACCTTTGAGAATTCATTTTCAAAAAGACTTCAAGATTCCAGAGCTGACTCTATCCAAAGCCATGTAGACAGGACTTTTGATCCATTTGCTCTACTAACAGCTCAGAAGAAGAATAAAATTTCGCAAAGTCAGCCAGTTATTGTCGCGTAACGAAACAGAGCGCTTTCATTTTCAAAACCTCCAGTTCTAAGGAACCCTTGCACAACTCAACTAAGTTTCCCAGTCTCGCACAATTTTTGTTTTACTTCACCTTAAAGTTCTCCTGAAAAGGCCTCAGTAGGGTTTAATTTTCCACCACTTTACAGGGTTCTATTCTCCAAGTTCACGATTTTCAGATCAACACTGACGACGCGGCGCACAAGAACAGTTCGGGCAAAATGACGGAATACTACACGATCAAAAATGAAATGGCAGCGCGAGCAGCACTTATCGTTCGTTTTTTTTTCATTGATATTTCTACTCAAGCTGAATTGTGTTCGAAAAATTTTACCCTGTCGAAAAAGAACTGATTCGGTTCCGATTCTGATACTATTGGCTTCGGAAGTATTCATCGCTGTGCTGGCTCCTTAGGTTTTTTTTTTTGAGAGGAAGAAATGTGAAATGTGGTTTTGAATTGAACTCTTATTCAAACTCTTTTCGATAGTCTTTGATTGCTGCTGTCAATATTATCGACTTTCGGAGCTATTTACGTCGAATATGTTTGAGATTTATCAGTATATTACTGCTGGGCCGGGTGTCCTGTAATTTTTGTATCATGGTTATTTTATGCACGAGGCCTTGTCTGGTTATATTATCTTTACTTTATTTTTCTTTAGGTGAGGGCATGTGATGAACTTTTGAAACTGACGAATGATCTGAAAGAATTCCTCATTCTCCACGACTTCAACTTCCTCACCCACGCCATCAAATCGTGAGTTTATAGGAGGACTGTTTCCTTTTCCATGCTTCCTTTTCTTCTTCGCTTCCTAGTCACCCGGGCAGTGAACCCTTCTGTTTTACAACTTTTAGAGACCTTATATGACGTAATCTGAAAGTTTTCACAAAATTCATTCTCTTTTTAGTGCCGAGGAAGAATGTGACAAAAAGATGAAAGCGCAAATCCAAAAGCACAACGCTTTGCGAATAGACGTAAGCAACTTGCTCACGGATATGGACAAGGAGTTAATGGAACACTTCACATTCAGACATTGAAAAGTCTTTCCTCATCTGTTCGCTCCTCTTTACTGTTACGGGATTGAAAACTGGTACTATTCATAGAACTGCTTTTTGCACATTCATTTACTGTTTTTGATAACAATATTTATTAGGTTTAAAGACATGTGTAAACAATCACAACATCGTCAGATATATACAAATTATAATTTGAGCTCACTATCCTGAATTAGATTCTATGTGTTTCACAGCTTGTTGGGCGTATGCTGAACCTTAAATCAGTGAAATATTCTTTACGTACGTGCATATTTTGCCTACACTATCTAAATAACTAACTTGAGCAAGGAGCAGTTTCTTTTGGACATTTCCGTATATCAACATATTGGTAACATTTCTGATAGCGGGTCTTCTCCTTTTTGCCGTGGCACGATGACCAGGTTGTCCATTGTTCATCAACTTTCCGGATCTTGGTATGAAATAGTTAGGAAGTAATAGTAACAAATCAATTGTCTGTTGATCTAACCATCGAGGAAGACATCATCTCATCGTGAAGCCGTCGCATGAATAGCTCATCCGGATGTTCAAAGTAAACCATCATGGTACCGGTGTCCTAAATGTGAGGTGATCCTTTTTATTATGAGTTAATCTCCCTGGTTTTCTGATTCGCTCTCCTCCCAGAATACATAAGAATCATCGCAATGGTCAGCAGTTAACCGAGACGGGGAATTTGATGTTAAATCAGGCCCAGTGACCTGGCTGGAACTAGGTAACCGCGATGGCGCGTCCTGACCCATACTCTTCAATACTACTCGTTTAGATCCACGACAAACTGTGGCACATAACCATCGTGCAAGGTTCACAGTGCTGCCGTAAGCCAAAATTTTAGTGTGAAGATACATTCTTTTTCTTTTGTGAAACTTACCTCAGGTATGAACACACCCGGTTGAGTCTTTTTCGTTTCCGTATTCAGAAGGCAGTTCTAAATTGTAGAATTGTTCTTCAATTACAGTCAAACTGTATAATTTGGAAGAATTTTGATTCGAAATACCTGCTCTTTGTCATTCGGATACCACATCGCTGACATGCACTGGAATCCGTACCGTTTCAATGCCTAGAAGAAGATTTTGGAAATCTAGCGATCAAGAAATGATACATTCGGTGGGAACCCGCACATTTTACATGATAGAGAGTTTGATTCGTCGTGATGGGAGATGGGCAGTTGAATCGGTTTTGTGTAATGGTTTCGCCGCACGCCGCGGTCGCGGACTTGTTGCCTCGCTAATGCAGTCCTAGCGTTCTCCATACACCTCGATCAATCTGCGACTACTATTTATGGCACGATTCTAGTGTAACTTCTTTTGTTCCTGCATCTCTTCCTCACTGCCATGCTTCTACTAGATTCTTTCGCAAACGACGTCGTTCTCGCCGCGGAACGACATTTCGATTCGCCTGTCGCCCTCATACCCGTCGTTGATAAGGGTACTCATTTTGCCCTAGCTTTTTGATCAGCTACATCGTGGAGTTACGATTACCTCTCTGAAATTTTTCGACAAAAAGTATTGGAAACGCTAGAACGAGGCAGCTGGTCCGCGACTGCCGCGTGCGGCGAGTCGATTCAAGAGACGCTGGAAAAAGCTAGAGGAAATTCCGAGATTTCTACGCTAGCAGTAGTGTCACCATTCTCTAATTCTGGATGGTCGATGAAGTGACACTACTGCTACTATAGCTGCCACTCAAGAGACAATGTCCTTCCAAGGGAAGACTATCTCCTTCCACAAATTATCAAAATTAGTCGATGTCTCTTACAAAAACTAATTTCTTACCGCATAACATGCCGAAATACACTGTTCGATACCGTAGACATCTTCGATTTGTTCTACAAATCCTGCCAAAATGTGATTGGCCACTCCAATGAGATGGGTTGACCGTCCTGAAATGTCGGTTTGATTACTCAACTTCTGGGTGGATAGCTTATCTTCAGCGAATGTGCTATTATAATACAATGTTATTCTCTTCCGAGTTCATGACCGTGAATCTGATAGGCATCACGAGAAGCTACAGTTTGCCGTGCTTATCTTCCTTTATCCAGTGTCCAATTTGGAAATAGCTCACTAAGCAGGACCCTATAGTGACACCCACTTGACCGATTTCTCTCTTCCGAGAGGTTGAGTGAGAGGGGATGGGAGATTATGTTAAGTTACTTCTAGATGTTATAGATGCTAACGAAACAACCATAAGACAATTCTTTCAACTGGACAATTTCCCCTTCCTTACCATCCCAATCAAAAGATGCAACCTTCCATAGTCGTTGCGACTTCCCTTCACTTAGAATTCAATAGAGTCAGTTCGCTACACTACTAAGTAACACTAAGCATGTGAAGCTATGGCCTGATTCGTTACCTTTGACCAACATCTTATCAATACAAGATTTTTCAATGTAGGTTCCATTTTCTGCAGATTGAAGGTCTGCAACCGAATGCCGTACCCGTGTGGCAGACATCTCACACATGGAATTGGAGAATATGGCCGATGAGCTGTAAGATTGGCGATATTTTTGGTCCTTTACGTGAATATCAATTGATTTCATGGAAGACCCTAGCAAAACCTACCAATCAGGGTTGCCTTCGCACTGTTCAAGGCACTGTCGGTGGTCTCGGGCTTTCACCGTTTCCTTGACTGCTTTATACGGTTTCCTTGTCGATGATGGGAAGCTCATCATCACTACGTGCTCGTTCTCTTCACAGATGTCCGTCGAGTCGGCCAGCTGAAGACTCGTTCAAGCATAATTCGTCAATGAGCTTCAGAAAAATGAATGAGGATATTGAAAAGTAGCCCTTAGAAAAAACAGTAGACTATTAGAAAGCCCAGTTAAACGCCTTCCGGTACCTCTAGTGATATGTCATCTGAGTGATGTGGTTTTGTGGCATGAGTCGTTGGATTACCTTCATGTTCAGGGTCATCTCCATCACTGATTTTGGCACCATGAACACGGAAACCCTGAAAATCTTCAATGTGAATAGGTATGAGAGCATCAATCGGGCTTTCCTCAATGGATTGCTCAATAGTACCTGGCTCAATTGTCAAGATGGGAACAATGGAAAAACATTTTCTCTCTTTCTGGACTTTCTGTATCAAGAATCAGGAAAAACTCTAGGACTTTCACGATTCTGAACCTTACTGCTTCTACCACTTCCAATCAAAAACGGTGTGGCCTTTTGGGTTCGTATGTGGCCTATACAAGGAATTTGTCGTATACATCAAATACTCTTTAAAAGTGCCACAAAAAGAAAATTCAGTGCGAATTCGAATAACGAACTCTAATTTCTGTATTGCTTCACACATTTGGTGGTTGCAAGACGTCGTAAATTAGCTCTCATTAGTCAATTACAGTAGAAATTCAGAATTCTCAGGAATTTTCGTTTATGATTGAAGTTATCGGCGAATCTCGTGAGCAGGTGACCGCCTGTAAGGGTTATCTCTAGTACGTACCCGTTAGTAACACACACAC